CACAAAACAAACTTTCTGAGCACTCTGTAAGGGTAACAGCTAAGAAACAGGGTTAGATTTCATCTGTCATGTGTTCTGACCCATGCGTATGGGGATACATCTTCTCTCCGGTGTGGGTCTTCATGTGATTGATTAGATGAGAACGCCTGATGAATCTTTTCCCACATGCTGAGCAACAATACGGCCTCTCGCCTGAGTGAGTCTTCATGTGGCGTGTGAGATTAGACTGAGAGCTGAATTTCTTATGGCAGACAGAGCAACTGAAAGGTTTCTCACCAGTGTGAATTACTGCGTGCTTGACGAGGTCGCCTTTCTCTCTAAAGCTTTTGCCACAGTCTGAGCAGCTGTGAGGTTTCTCTCCAGTGTGGATTCGTTCATGAGTGTTCACGTGTCCAACCTGTTTGAAGCCTCTGCCACAGAAGCTGCACTTGTACGGTCTCTGCCCAGGGTGAGAGCTCATGTGTTTCTGCAGATAAGAGAGCTTTACAAAGCCTTCACCACAAATACTGCACCTGTGAGGTTTTTCTTTCGTGTGTGTCTTCATGTGGCGGGTCAGAATGGATTTAATCCTAAAATTCTTGTCACACAGGTTGCAGGTGTATGGACGCCTTTGATCCTCTCCATCTGTCTTCATTGTGCTACTGTGAATACCTGAATCAGGTCCTCTAACTTCTGTCCGCTTAACATAGATTAATTCGCTGATCTGGCTGTTTCTGGCTGACTTTAATATACCAAAATCTTCTGTGGCGGCGGAAGATGAACTTCCAGAAAAAGCATGGCCCTCTTTCTTCTCAACTATATGACTTTGAAGTGGTAAATGTCTTTCATCTTCATCAATTCTCTGCACATAGGTTATACTGAATACGGAGTCTTTGTTTTCAGCCTTTATCTCTTTTTCACTCGTCTGAGCGTCCCACACTTCTATGTCCTGTTCCTCCTTTATAGGGCAGTTGTCTTGGTCATCCTCACCCAGGTTAGTCTTCTTCTCACAGTCATCCTGGCCACATGGAACATCGTCCTCCGCCACTGAGAACTGCAGGCTAGCTGGACAGGATCACACACCATGAAACTAATTTAGATTGAATTCAAAAACAGATTCTGTTTTGTAGACGTCCAACAGACAGAAAGAAAATACATTGAAAGCTGTTACAGTAAAACAAAATTGTCAATCTGATAATGAAAAGATTGGAATTGCAACAACACAAATACAGCAGGGACAAACCGAAAAGGAGAGAGCTGAAGTCAAAAGAATTATGAGGAAGTCAGCAAAGGTTGTTAGCAGGATCTCTAAAATCTCGCTCTCATTAAATGTAAACTTGAATTATCTATGCACACTAGTAAATGTATGCTGTGCTTTTAAAAATACACAAAAACATGCTTCTAATGACTTATTTGGGATTATTTGGACTGAAAACAAAAGTCCTAACAAACGTTTTCACTGGACAGGTGTCTACTTCCACTTCCAGCTTCTTTGTTATTATCTTTTGATTCGACCGCAAACAGATTAATTTCCATTTTAATCAGAAATTACTTCACTATTGTGTCAGTGAGTATGTTAATATTTTACTGAACCGACTGTGCTGTATTTTAAAACCAACCATTTCGCATCCCTTTTCACTGGCACGGGATGCAAAATGGCGCTAGTAGACTCTGTGGCAGCGGATTAAGCTCTGTGTTATGTTTTCTCATAATAAAAACGTTAACAGATCTTACAGTGCTATCCCTTAAGAATATAACGTGAGATGTCAACGCTCAGTTCACATTAAGCAGTTACCTGAAGTTAATCTGCGATCTTTCAACACCTCCAACCTTCCCTGTCGTTGGCCAGTCTCTTGTTTTGAACGAAACTGTTCCGCCTCATAATCTTTAAAAGCTTTTTCAATGAGCACGAAAATGTCCTCGGAGACCACCTTTAGTCGATCATTGATCAAAGCTTTTAGTTTTTCCGTTTCGTACATTTCTGCGGATGAAACAAGCGTCCAGCCTGTGTTTTGACCAGCTGATTGTGGATTGCTCGGTATCGAAATATCGCGAGAGAAACAGAGCATTGGCCAAGCCAAGAAATAATTACCACGGTTCTTCTTCTTCTTCTCCTATTATTTTAATGGCGGTTGGCAAACAACTTTTAGGTGCATTACCGCCACCTTCCAGAGTGGAGTATGGACTCGACAATCTATTAAATCCTTTCTAACATACCCGTTCTTCTTATAAAACTGAAAATACTCCCAAAAACCACATCCCCAGACGACCTCTGAAACAAATCAAATTTATTTTATTCCTGCCTAACTCTCTACATAACCTCTCTCTTTCTTGTGTATATTTACTACACTCCAAAAAAACATGCTGGACTGTTTCCAATTTCCTACAACCACAACACCCCGTACTATGTTTATTAATTATTTTAAGATTACTATTTAATCTTGTATGTCCAAATCTAATACCACGGTTTAACAAAATCGCTCTTGATGAACAAGTTTAAACAACAATGGCTATGAAAACATTCTAGAAAATAAACTGTTCGTAAACAAACTGCTACCTATGTGACCATTACAACAGATTCACAAAATTGGCCAAGAAAACCCAGGTTTACTGTCCAAAATCGTTAAGATGTGACTAAATGCTTTGTTTTTAGTTTTAGGACAAAACAATATGTTTAACAAAGAACGTTTATTTGACTACAACACTTCATTTTCTCACATGCCCATATTTCATCCTCTTTTGGGGGTTAGAATGTGTGTGATTAGATTTTGCCACCAGCAGATGACAGCACATATCCATGTAAACCATACCGCTTGTGCACAAGGCTCTCGAAAAAGGTGATACTTAGTACTAAAACAAGATTTCTTACAGCTTAGCGTTTGAAGCACCTGCATCATAATGATTTATGTGTGGAGCAGTCAGAATTTCAGCCACAAACTGATCATTTTTCAGATTAGGCAAAGTAAAACACAGTTTATTACATGTTACAGCATGGACAAATTATTTATTGAGCATTGATACTTTTGCGCCTATTATAATTGAACTTCATTTGATACAACGTGTTTTTTAAAAGCTTATTTGCATATTTTCTCTTTTTCTTTCACTTATTTTTCCTGTTTGGTTTTAGAAAATACCAGAAATACCACACAGTGACTGTTTAGACATAAGGATTAAGGTCCACTGTTTCTGTATCTTCATACAATAACATACCTGAGAGGGGCCCACTCATAGAGAACAGACCAGCCAACATGTAAACGTTATGTGCCAGCTTGACAGATCTTTACACACCAGCTTAGAAACAGACCCTTCATTCCCATTTTCTTTTAACTGCAGTTTCAAGATGAGACATCTACATCCTCCAGAAGGATGAAAACATTCAGGTATCAACCCTTCAGCATTCTTTTCTAGGTTGCTTTTGTTCTGAGTCTGATTCTTCTATTTTTTCTGATGGTGTTTTGCACACAAGCCATAGTTTGTGCTACTCCTTGCCATGCCATCCATCCATCTGGTTTCTATATCGCTTATTCCCAACGGTGCGTAGGTGGGGGGGTTCGGGGGGGGGGGGGCAATGGGCGAGAGGCAGGGACACAGAGACAATCAACCACACACACTCACATTCACTCCTAGGGGCAAATCAGACTACTTATCGTGCCCTTTTTTTTCCTTATTTTTCCCTCACCTACCTGCTGCCTGAATTTGGATTTAGGTGCTTCCTGATACAGGTTATACTCAAAAGCAGATTGCTTGGAGAATGGCCTGATTGTGATCTTCAAAATAACAATGAAAATAGATATGTTGAATTTACTGTGGCTTGGAAATGAGAAGTCAGCATTTAAAATCACAATAAAGTGAATATTGCCACCGCTGTAATTTGTGCAGTCTTTAAGTTTTGGTACTTAACCATGGAGCCCCAAGTAGTGCATATTTGTTTGATGTTTCAGTCATTCAAAGACTGAATGTTCCTCAAAGACATCAAATTTGCTCCAGCTTATGGCTTGTGGCTTGAGTCTGTGCATTAATAAGGTGCTAACTATCACCGTCACCTGTTATGGATTTTAAAAAGTTTCTTTGTGAATTTTCCACTGAACTGTCAGGTCACAGCTGAACTCTTTTATCCTGTCAAACTGAGGGAACTGCATCTCACTGGGATTACATGAGGAGCTGCTACCTCACACTTTGTTACCTATCATGAGACTTTTATCAAGGGTCATTCAGAGGAATCATTGATATCCATCTCTGATGTTTATAGTATATATTTGCAACTTGACCCCGTTTCTCCATTGAAGCGTGACTGAACATTAACTTGTAGGTTTTTTTTCATTTGGCCTTTGTAGCAGACCCTGGATATGTTTTCTGTCTCACCACTGTTTCTGTTAAAAGGTCACAGCCAAATTACAGAATTAAAAAAGAAAAAACAGGCAGATGGAAGGACAGGGAAGCAAATGGCCTTTTTTAAGATTCATTAGCAGCATTCAGTCAACAAAACACCTGCATACTAGACTAAACTGACCTTTTGATCTCATTTCACATATCTGTGATCGAGCTGTTTAATGTGCCCCTGTGCATGTGGCAAATTACGTGCTTGATGGAGCATTAATCATTTTCAAAGTTAGATCTTCAAAGGGCAAAACATGCTTTGTTTAGTTAGTCACTCTTGATAATTCTGCTTAACACTCTAAATCTATTTTCATTTATAGAAAAAAAGAAAACAATTGTTCCATGATTAAACTCCTCCGTGCTATGAGAAGGACAGCAAAGAAAGGAAAGAGAAAATTCCTACACAGCATTTGACTGTATTCCATTTGCCTGGGAAACCGGAAAATAACCATACTTGACTTTACTACATTCCAGTTGCTGTGCAAAAACAACATTATCTTATTAAATTATAAAGTTTGAAATAGGAAAACAAGTTCATGGCACATGGTCCAATATTAGAAGCACAAATGAAGAGATTAAAACTTCAGAAACTTATTCAAATATTTCAAGTTAGTAATATGACTTTGCAAATTTCCACCTGTGAGTTCAGATGAGGTAACATGATTGAAAGAGTGACGTAAACAGGGAAATACTGTCTCTAAGGCATTAACATATTTCACTACATTGGAAAATGTTCATATAATAATGCTTGATAAATGCTGTAGCATGCTGGGAAGCTTCATGTCCTTGCTCAGCTATTTGATTCAAATGCATAGATGTTTTATGACTGCCTGGAAGTAGCAGGTGCATCCAACATTTATTGCATTACATTGTGTTAAACATTAGATTAGACTGTAAATTTAAAGAGTAGCACAACTGTGCTCCGCTTTCAGAAAAGAACAAAATCTTGCAGTGGCTTGCAATGTCAATAGCTGTTACTTCCTGTTTCATGGGCATGTAGCATTAAACATGACAAAAATCATACTACTTTAAATTAGATATAAACTCACAACTACAATTCCAATACTAAAAACTTAATTAGTGACCATATTAACTTCCTTTTCTATATTCTCTACAGAAAACACGGTTAACTTTCCACCCTTACTCACATGTTCAATGAACACATCAGACATAAAATATTAGAAAAAAACAAACAGTTATTATCAGTGTAATAACCTACTGTAATCAAGGTGTTGTAAAAGCTTTAGTAATCCAACATTAGGGTATGTAAAACACAAGCAATTGAACAGTTAAAAATAGAAAGAAAATAGAACATCTATATAACATCAACTATAGGATTGAAGTAAGCATTAAGTCACAACATTTATGAGGCGTCCCAGCAATCAGATATAACCTGCCAAAAGCAAGCAGCCGTCCAAGAACATAACTGAAACTCATAACCGACTGGCTCAGTATCAGATGATGAATATCATGACCCTCAAACACATCTCATCAACTGTGACCTTTGATGGAAGCCTCTTTCAGGTCTTTTTCTTGTTTATCTAGTAAAGTTCGTACTTGATTAAACCATCAAGTTTCTCATGTTGCCTTATTTAAAGCTAATTTGCATAATTTCATCACTAGCAGACCAAACATATTAGGCTGACATGAACCTCCATTACATCTTTGATTTTCCAGGGTCTTATGAC